TGGATTGTGATAAGAGTTGTATGAGCCCCTAATAAAATGATTTAAGAAAAAAAAAGATTACAGACTTGGAAACCCCATAGGGCAGTTGTACTCTGTCCTAATTGACTGGATAGCATTTAGTTTGGTTTTTGATAGATACTCAGCTGCTGAATAACTTGGGTTTTTACCTGTCAGGTCCAGCTTTTATGTCAGGGCCCTTGCTTGACCGTTAGTTTGTAATGGTCATAGGCTTTGGGATCTTGTCTGCGTCTTCTCAATCAGTTTGCAGTTGCTGGATCATGAGGTAGGTGTCCGGCCATTTCTTAAGTCTTAGCAAGAAAGGAGCCTGGTGGCATTGCCTGGTAAGTGCTGGACTGCTACCCTCAAGGTTGGTGGTTCAAACCCACCAGCTGCTCCTCAGGAGAAAGAAGAGGCTATCCTGGTCCCATAAGGATTCACAGTTGGAATCAACTAAATGACAATAGGTTTGGTTTGGCAGGAAAGGTCAACTGGCTACCTGGCAACACAAATTGCATCTGGTGGCTGTTATCTCAAATTTCGTCATCACTGTTCTGCTTCGGAAAGGAGTGTGTTGTTGATTCAAGCCTATTTAGTGACTGGTACCTGATATATCACCACTGGGCAATAGCGATTTCCAATTTGTGCTCTGTGGTGCGGTGAGATGACACAGGACTATTGCACAGCTTCCCTCTGGGACAAGTGAGATGGAAAGATCATATGTGGGCTGTTGCTGGTTCTGTCCATGACTAATCATGGGAGTTTTACAAGCCTCGTCCAGCCTCTCCACCCATAAAGCAAAAAGTGCTGTGTGTTTAATAGTCTGTGTGCCTTGCCATTGAATTGACTCCAATTCATAGTGACCCCATAGGACAGAATAGAACTGCCCCAGAGGGTTTCCAAGACTAAGTAATCTTGATGGAAGGAGATGGCCACAAGCCTTCTCCGGAGGAGAGGCTGGTAGATTCCAACCGCTGACCTTTCCATTGGCAGTTGAATGCTTAACCACTGTTCCTCCAGGGCAGATTTAATACCCTGTAGGGATGCAGATTCTGTGGTTCTCTGATTTTTTTTAAAATTCAAAGTAGATACGAAATGAATGCCCATGTGGAATGGTCACAAAACAATTATGAATATACATGGAAATTGTATTTGTCACTTTTCCCAAACCTGATGGTCTTAATAGATTTTTAGGAATTAAAAAGAAAGGCATGAATACTACTGCATTAAATGTATATATAAATACTCCAAATTATGGAATTAAAATTGATAACTGAACAAGAAAGACTTTTAAGTATTATAAGAAAATAGAAAATGTTACGGAGGTACATGGATTATAGGTAGGACCATTAAGATTAAAGATTGTATGATAAATTTTAGTGTTCATCTGAAGCACTCATAAACAGGAAATATTCGTATGCACACATGCAATCTTTAGTAAATTTCTTATCTAACAGCACATTTAGTTGTGTACCCCCCCAAAGTACACAATGTTTAATAGAATTATGTATATATTTTAACATAGTATGCAATGAGGCTCTTTAATGACTACAGTTCTTTTCATCTGCAAAGAACAGAATCCTTACTCACGCTGGGTTGGAAAAGAGTACTTATTGTAAAGGTGCAATGGGCAATGCCACAAACACCAACAGACGAACCCTGAAGTGCCAGTGGGCCTCAGGGGAACTAGATTTGCCTAGAGTCTCTGTAGTAGCTGCTTATTGCTCTCTTGATTTTGCACATGACTGCTATCCCCAGTATCATCACCCCAGCTGAAGTCCCTGTCTTGATAATATAGGGACTGAGTATTCACCTCCATCAAGTTAGTGACCACATCTATACAAAAATATGGTCTAGCGATTTTTTGTTGGCTCAGGGTGATCCCATGCACAAGAGAACCACATGCTGCCCATTCCTGCATCATGATTGGCTGCGCCTTGGACCCGGATGGTCCATGAAGTTTTCATTGGTTGATTTTCAGAAGTAAATCCTGAGGCCTGCCTTTCCAGTCTCTCTTAGTCTGGAAACTCTGCTAAAGCCTATTCAGCATAATAGCAACATACACTCCTCTACTAACAGATGACTGATAACAAACGGGAATCAAACCAGGCCTCTGGCACAGAGGGCAAGAATTCTACCACTGACCCACCACTGCTCCCATGAAGTAGGGAGGGCAAGAAACCTCCTTAGGGCATCTATTAAATTCTGAGTTGGACACAAGGTGAGGAGAAATGAAAAGGGAGAGAGAAAGGGAAGTTCTTGTTAGAGTTTATTAACAGCTATTATTACTGTAAGAATTACTGAAGATAATGATTGTATAATTCTTCTTGACATGATTGAACTATTGAATTGTATGATGTGGATTATGTACCAACACAACTGAAAAAAAATTACTGAAATAATTTTCTAGCTGCTCTGGTATGAAGGAAGAAGTGCTGGACTTAATTTTCTGGGTTTTAATTTTTTTTTTAACCCTTGGTTAGAATATAATGTCTTTGAACTTTTATTCTCTTGAGCTAGGAACTACCTATCATTTTACTTTATTTTTTAAAACTTTCCTACCTGTCATTTTAAAGAGAAGCATAGTACTCAGCTTCACAGATTATAAGAATTCAACTAGAAGGTAAAATGCCTAGGGCAGAGGTTTAGAATATAGTTATGTTTAAACCTGTTCACTCATTTTTTAAAGTTTGTAGTTTGCAGGATAATTACTGTTCTCCCTTTATCGTAAGACACTTTGTCTGTGATTCCCACAAGTTCTGTCTCTGAGTTCTGAGCACCTGTGAGTGGCCGAGGGTGGTGCAGCAGCAGCAGCAGCAGTATCCTCCTAAGTGACAGCAGCAACTTGCAGCCACCGCCCACTCAGGAACATGACTCAGGAGATCTTGTGTTTGTGTTTCTCTCCCAGGTGGATTTGCAATTGTGTTTCTGGTGAGGACAAGCAATGGAGTGAAGTGTGCCTTGAAACGCATGTTTGTCAACAATGAGCATGACCTCCAGGTGTGCAAGAGAGAAATCCAGATCATGGTAAGGCCAATCGATGCTCAGAACTGCAACTGCTTGTTTAAAATTGGGGAAGGGTTATGGATTGACCCCGTCTGTGTCCTCTCATCACAGATAGGCAAGTGAGCCACGACCTTACTTCCTTGGACCTTGTCCTGTTCATGGGATATTGTCTTCTCTTGTCAGATAGCAGCGAGACCTCTGGGTAAGGGCAGGGGGAGCAGCAGTGAGGTGTAGGATGCTGCTCCTGCCTAGGCCACTGTCAAGTGAAGGGTTGAAGAGAATGGAACATATTTAGGGATAGGACCAATTTTTACTTCCAAGAAGTCATTTGAGGCATTAGGAAAGGTTTACTTAACAATTGGTCTTCCAGTAATTATCTGTGAACTCTACTTCAGAAGCCTCCGCTTCTTTTGTAATGAGACTTTCTCTTCCAGTCTTGCCTCTGTCAATTACCAGTTCCGGTTTTTAACCCTTCCCTTCTACAACTTTATATCGTAACCATGTATTTCTTTCTACCTGGATGTTTCCCTTGAAACTTGTTCTACATAGTCCATGATTCAATTTCAAGGAAGTCCCAAGAATAGGTCAAAGTGACCTGTGGTGATAGAAATCAGAAAGTGATTACCTGGACATGGGAAATGGACCAGTCAGGTGATTGTGGGAACTTTCTGGCTGATGGGAATGTTCTGTATCCTGTTTCACGTAGTGGTTCATTGCATGTACCCTTGTCAGAACTTAAGGAGATATGCCTTATTATATGTTAATTAGCCTTGATTAAAAAAACAAAAGTTTCACGGTAAGATTCATGTGGTTATGTTTAAAGAAAGAAACTCCTATCTAATTGAAACACATGCTGAAATATTTGTGGATAAAATAGTATGATGTCTTGAAACTAATGGAGGGGCTTAGAGGAGAAGCCAGAGTGACCCTGAGTTGATTATCGGAGCAGAGGGATGGGTTCATAGGAGGGTGTTAGAGTATTCTCTTACTTTTATATCCATTAGCACGTAATAAAGAATATGTACAATCTCGTCTATCATTTCTGTTTGTTTCCACATTGCTTTGTTTACACCAGTTGTTTTGCTTGTATTGTTTATAAGTAGTTCTGCCATCAGAAAGTAAGTTGTTTAGATTCCGAAGCATTTATCTTTATATTTCTGTATATTGCTTGTCACAGAGTAAATGTCTAATAAACTTGGAATGAAATGAATGTGTAAAAAATGGTAATTGCTCATACATGTGTGAGAACACCTTTGTTTCCTGAGGTTGTTTTTTTGTTTACTTTCTGTTAAAAAAAAAAATAAAAGAAAGAAAGAAAAAGATCCAAAAACTGGGCAGGGCAGCCTTGTGCGGACTCCATCGGACTGGGTTGCCCTGGCAGTGGCTATTTCAAGAGTAACTAGTTGTACTGTGAAGAACTCTGGTGGTGTAGTGGTTCTACATTGTGCTGCTAACAGAAAAGTCAGTAGTTCGAAACCACTAACTGCTCCACGGGAGAAAGATGAGGCTTTTTACTCTCATAAAGAGTTACAGTCTCAGAACCCATGGAAATAGGTTTACCTTGCTCCATAGGGCCGCTATGAGTTGAAATGCATTCACCGTTCTGATTGTTAGTGCATGTTTGTGGGTGCTGCTTCTCATTCTGAGCTGTGCCCCGTTGGTAGATGTAGGTCCCAAAAGCTTTGCTCCACCTCCTTCTTTAAGGTCAGCCATTCTTTGTGGAGGCTGCTCTTCTCCAGTCGTATTTTGAGTGCCATCCTGCCTGAGGGCCTCATCTTCCTGCATTATAGCTGACAATATCCCTAAAGTTCTAAGGGGCTAATTTTTCAGAAGTGGTCCATCTCTCCCTTCTTCCTAGTATATTCTTAATTTGGAAGCGCCACTAACACCTGTTGACCATCCCTGACCTTGCTGGTATTTCAAATACTGGTGACATAGCTTCCAGCATCACAGGAAC